AATAAATTACAGAAGAACTAATCACAATCACAATCACCCAGTTTAGTTTAGTCAAATGTAGATTATTCTAGTAGTATATTACAGATCTAAGTAATAGATAATTACTCAGTTTACTTTAGTCAAATGTAGATTATTCTAGTAGTATATTACAGATCTAAGTACCAGATAATTACTCAGTTTACTTTAGTCAAATGTAGATTATTCTAGTAGTATATTACAGATCTAAGTAATAGATAATTACTCAGTTTACTTTAGTCAAATGTAGATTATTCTAGTAGTATATTACATATCTAAGTAATTACTAGAATAATCTACATTTGACTAAAGTAAACTGAGTAATTATCTGATCTGTAATATACTTAAGTAATAGATAATTACTCAGTTTAGTTCAGCCAAATGTAGATTACTTTAGTGATACATTACCAAAGAACTAAGCACTACATAACTAATGATTTTAGTGGAGTTAAGTATAGAAATATCTTTTTGTTAAAATTCAACTAACCTGTAGAAAATCGAATAACGTGTTACCTTCCTCTCGAACAAACATGTACATACTGAAAACAACAGAAATTTGTTTTCCTGATATTTATTAAAAACACAGAAGTTTCTGTTGAAAAACAGTTATGTATGGATTTCGATAATGTTTTGGGAAAAGTGTTCAAATATATTTTGTTTAAAAAATAATTACAATGTTTACTGACACAAACTCGTTCTTATTTTTCATACTTACTTTAGTCTCAGCTGTAAGTCGGAACTTGGTAGATTCTACTCGTTGCTTTAAATCTTCAATTTCTTGAAGAAGCCGAGCAGTTGAAATTTTTGCGCTTAGCTGTAAAAAATAAAGGTCATATCTGTACATTTCTATCATAGCAAGCACCTTTTTTATGTTACACAGAAGAACATGAAAAAATGAATGTTTCAACAATTAACGAATGAAGAAAACGCTACTTATTCTAAGAGAACAAAATATACTTTTTGTAGCTGTGGTATTTAAGTATTATTAAACCCAAACATTTGTATAAAAAGTGCCTTATCTAATGATCCATGGCCATGCGAGAGAGGGGTCTCACGATACTTTAAGGACAAAATTATCTGTAGCCTGATAATCGATATATACTATGATATGATACGATATTTAGACTTTAGTCAAGAACTAAAAAAACTACAATGTCTCGCACTATTTAGGAAGAAAGACTTGGTTATAAATTCGTATTTTTAAATACTCATTTTCTTTTTCATATTTTTTCTTCTTCTATACTCTATTACAAATCGAAATGAATATAAAATGTAGTTTTTTACAGTTTGTATGAAAGACGTTTCCCATTAATCATAATGTTAACAGTTATAATTAATTTAATTGTCATAAAACGATAGTATTAAGTTTAAAGTATTTTCAAACACTACAGTTTTAATTTAGTTTATTATGTTTTTCGAGTGTGTTTAAAAATACAATATAATTAATACTATTGTCTTAGGTTTAAAGTATTTTCAAACCCTACAGTTTTAATTTAGTCCATTATGATTTTCGAGTGTGTTTAAAAATACAATATACTTAATACTATTGTCTTAGGAGAAATATAATTCACTATCATCACACTTTCCCAGGAAAAGGCGTTAACACTAAAACAGATATTAAAATTCTACCAGTACAAAAACTTTTTTTTTAATTCTTTTGTTTCCATACGAAATTAAATATTATTACTCTTAAACCAAGAGAGAGCAACTGTCTGTTTCAAAGGCCATGAAAACCATTAAATAGACGAAAGCAACGTGTGGGAATCCAAGTAATTATAAGAACAATGTGTGTCAGTCATTCTACGCGTGTATGCGTGCTCGCTCACCTGGCAAACCAATATTTCTACTGGCTAACTGTAAAGTGATACTTTTACGTTTATATGAATGCAAAAGTGAACAAAGTGTAACAATTTCTTCAATAACATAAACAAACAGGCAAGGAAACAAGTCTGTATTTATTGTGCCTGGTACACATACGGTGTGAAAGTTTGTAGTTACTGTATATATTTGGTAAATAATATGATGTAATGTCTGTATTTATTGTGCCTGGTACACATACGGTGTGAAAGTTTGTAGTTACTGTATATGTTTGGTAAATAATATGATGTAATGTCTGTATTTGTTGTGCCTGGTACCCATACGGTGTGAAAGTTTGTAGTTACTGACATCATATTATTTACCAAACATATATAAATACAGACATTTGTGTACCAGGCACAAAAACTTTCACACCGTAGTAGTTACTGTATATGTTTGGTAAATAATATGATGTAATGTCTGTATTTATTGTGCCTGGTACACATACGGTGTGAAAGTTTGTAGTTACTGTATATGTTTGGTAAATAATATGATGTAATGTCTGTATTTATTGTGCCTGTGTACCAAAACTTTCACACCGTACAGTAACTACACATCATATTATTTACCAAACATATAAATGTCTGTGTTTATTGTGCCTGGTACACATACGGTGTGAAAGTTTGTAGTTACTGTATATGTTTGGTAAATAATATAATGTAACGTCTGTATTTATTGTGCCTGGTACACATACGGTGTGTAAGTTTGTAGTTACTGTATATGCTTGCCATACATATGATGTAAGGCTTGTATTTGTGGTTGGTACAGGAATAGTGTGAAGTTTATTTTAAAACTGAGCACAGAAGACAATATAATTTGATAACAATGTGCTTTGTTCATCCTTTCCGAGCAGAAACTCAATCTAACCTGTGTTATTTTTTGAATAGACACATACTTAAAAGTAGTTATGTGTTATCATACGGCTTTTATATCTATTGTACCAAATACTTATACCTCTGAGCAAACGTTTTTTGTTAAAATGAAGATTGAGGAACTTCCTACAAAAAAGAAACTCTTTATTCGCCTTTAAATACGTTTGACTTTAGTTACCCTGCTAGAAGGCAGTCCGGCTTTCCCTGCAAAATTATTGTTACCAAATCCAAACTCCATTTTTGCTAGTAGCTCCCGATGAAGTTTTTGCAACAAATTTCTGTATCTGGCGCATTCGTGCTCCAAAGGAGTGGACTTATTCCTCTCTTCCACGTAACGTTTCTTCCAGATACTTTTTACTGGAAAATACAGATATTCTGTTTAGTTACTTCACAGAAGAAGCACCTAAGAAAATATTCTTATTTCGGAGTTGTATGAGAATAAAGAAAACAACAGCAAATAATGTTATTTTATTACCTAACCCTTCTCCATGTAAAACTGTACGACATTCAAGTAAAACAACAGCAAATAGTGTTATTTTATTACCTAACCCTTCTCCATGTAAAACTGTACGACATTCAAGTAAAACAACAGCAAATAATGTTATTTTATTACCTAGCTCTTCTCCAAGTAAAACTGTACGACATTCAAGTAAAACAACAGCAAATAATGTTATTTTATTACCTAGCCCTTCTCCATGTAAAACTGTACGACATTCAAATAAAACAACAGCAAATAATGTAATTTAGGTAATAAAATAACATTATTTGCTGTTGTTTTACTTGAATGTCGTACAGTTTTACATGGAGAAGGGTTAGGTAATAGCCCTTCTCCATGTAAAACTGTACGACATTCAAGTAAAACAACAGCAAATAGTGTTATTTTATTACCTAACCCTTCTCCGTGTAAAACTGTACGACATTCAAGTAAAACAACAGAAAATAGTGTTATTTTATTACCTAACCCTTCTCCGTGTAAAACTGTACGACATTCAAATGTCCGAAATGATGGAGATTTTTTTTTAAATCATCGTTAACTTAAATAGAATAAAACGAGAATACGTGTTTCTTTCTTCAATGATACAAAACGATCAAGAATTGGACGGTGAAATTTGCATTAGGAACAAAATGTAAAAAAAAAAAAGTTACGTTTTGCTGTCCAGTACAAAGCTGCACAACTGGATATCTGTGCCCTGCCCACCGCAGATAGCGAAACCCGATTTTTAGAGCTAGAAACCCTCATAATACTGTGTAGCCACCAGGGCGGAAGTTTCTATGTTTGTAGCTAAGCGCAAAGCTACATAATGGACTATCTGTACTTTGTCCACCACGGGTATTGAAACCCGGTTTTTTTAGCGGTATAAGTTCGCGAAGTTGAGTCCTTGGTTTTTATAAATAATTAGGAAATAAGTGTTTTCATCTTGATAACATTATAGATGAAGAACAAAAAAATTTCGATTCTATATTTGTTTGTTGTAAACCACAAAGCTGGGTTATCTGTGCTGTACCCACTACGGTATCGAAACTCGCTTTTTGGCATTATAAGCCTTCAGACTTGTCGTTGAGCCACTGGGGTACTTAATTTTATGATGTTCTTTATTTTGTTTTCAATTTCGCGCAAAGCTACACGAGGGCTATCTGCGCTAGCCGTCCCTAATTTAGAAGTGTAAGAAGTGTAAGAGGGGAAGGCAGCTAGTCATCACCACCCACCGCCAACTCTTGGGCTAATCTTTTACCAACGAATAGTGGGATCGACCGTCACATTATAACGCCCCAAGGCTGAAAGAACGAGCATGTTTGGAAGGACGGGGATTCGAACCCTCGACCCGCAGGGTTGCGAGGCGAGAGCATAAAACACGTGTTGGATGTCATAAAACTGATTTTCTTTTCATTCAGGGTTTTTAAGCTGAATAAAGATCAGATTAAATCTCAAATGATCAACACTGATAAAACTTGATTTTATAAGTGTAAATAGTGAATAAATCCGATAATACTTAACAATTGGTTAAGGTATTGCCAAGAGAGTTTGTAATGATAAAATGTCGAATTCAAATAGCTTATTTAAGTGGTATTTCGAGGAACCACTCAAATTCAGGCTTAACAGAATCTATACATACTTGTATTTAGCGAGATCAAAGAGTATCAATCATTAAGGCACTATGATTGGTTAATCAACTAAGTTGCGTATTTTCTCCTTACCACTTAAATACTGTTTTCTATAGAATATTGGTTAAAACATACAAAGTAAAACAGTATTTAAGCGGTAAGGAGAAAATATATTTTGGTGTAATTCACTGTTTTTGTCTTGATTAGGCGTTTACCTATTGTGAGCAAGCAATTTAATTCAGTTTCTGAATAAACTTTAATTTTGTTTCTCGACTTTCTTATCACCCAAAACCCTGTATTTTTTGTTTCGTTTGTTTGTTGAATTTCGCGCAAAGCAACATAAGGACCATCGGCGTTAGTCGTTCCAAATTTTGAAAAGTTATAGACTAGAGGGAAAACAACTCGTCAACTCACGGGCTGTTCTTATCAGACCAATAGTAGTAGTATTTCACCATCAATCTTAGAATTCACCCACAGTCGTAAGGTGTGGAGTACGTTTGTTTGTTGTTGTTGTTTTTTCAATTTTTTTTTGGGGGGGGAGGTCATAACGGGGAGCGAAAACCCCAGATCCACAGTTCGATACGTTAGCTACCAAGCCACTGTTTTTGTAGTTTATTAGCTTAATTAATACAGTACTTTTAATATTTTACGTCACTGAACTGTTATTGCTTTAACACTAAAAAACGCCCTATGAATATCGTTGAGCATTATTAATATTAAATATTATAAAGAATTATGTCTTTAAAATTCACAGAAGTTTTTATCAGTTGTTTTGTTTATTTTATTCACAACGTTTCACCAGGTATACCTGGCATCATCAGGTGGGATACAAGAACTGAGGCTAACTGAATTTAATTGAATAAAGAATCACATGAGAATCTATAACAATAGTAATCTACAAGCATTCGACCATGTACATGTATTTTAATCATTGTCTTCTCTCTTGGATATAGAACGAATTTCCATACTTAGACTCAGGCCTAGGCCTGCCATGGCCAGGTGGTTAGCGCGCTTGACTCGCAATATGCGGGTCGCGGATTCGCATCCCCGTCCATCAAACATGCTCGCCCTTTCAGCCGTGGGGGCATTATAATGTGACAGTCAATCCCACTATTCGTTAGCAAAAGAGTAGCCCCAGAGTTGGCGGTGGGTGGTGATGACTAGCTGCCTTCCCTCTAGGCTTACACTGCTAAATTAGGGATGGCTAGCACAGATAGCCCTCGTGTAGATTTGCGCGAAATTCCAGACAAAACAAACAAATAAACTCAGGCCTAAAAGTTTTATTTATTACACCTATATTTGGCAGTTTACTGGTGAATTACTTTATCGTTTTAATTGGTTACTCGAATGCTTGTAGATTACAATTGTTATAGATTCTCACGTGATTCAGTTAGCCTCAGCTCTTGTATCCCACCTGATGAGGCCAGGTATACCTGGTAAAACGTTGTGAATAAAATAAACAAAAGTTTTACTGTATACAACCGATAAAAGCTTGGGTGAATGTAAAAGATTGTTTCAGCTCGCCTTATTTAACGCCAAATCTCGTTACTGTCGATCCTGTCAGAGAGCTGTTGCAAGTAATATTATGTTTGACTTTTTACCTTTATAGTTGTTGCGTCAGCAAGGTCACGTGACTAATGTCACGCCGCCGTTTTCTGGAAGTGTCCTGTTCCTTCAGGAATGCCCTAGCATTTACTAGATATGTGTTGGTCTGGTATATATAAGATGGTCACAACGTAACAGA